AAAGCACTGTATAAGGCTATGTGCTTTTGCATTGATAGAAAATATTCCTATAGATACATTTGTTTTTTCTTAACTGAAAGATGGCCTAGAAAAATTCAAACACACAAACATGATTTGGGGACCAGTAAAAGACTGAACTCCTCTGTCCTATTGCTGCTTGTCTAGCTGTTTCAAAAGCAGTTGTTAAATACCTGGAGTCAGTTTAGAGCAAAGCAGTTTATACTTTGCCCATGTGATACACGATTCCTTGAACTGGCTGGAATGTGATTAGTCTTTGGCAAAGCTGAACAACTGTGTAACATTTTTAATCCATTTTTTTCCAAGTATATTATCATTTCAGTAATCTGTTTTTTGTTGGAAATATTTGCTCCAGATGAAGTATTGTAGTAATTTGTAGTTTACTTTCAACTTGAAAAATATTACTTTAGTCTTGGGGCAGTGGGGGGGAAGAATTAAATGTCCTTTAAATGTTGTTCCCCTGAAATAAATTAACCCTAGGTTCCGTATTTGTTCTTACTAGGAAGGATGTATTCTGAAAAAGCTGAAGTAACTGTACTAGAAAGGGAAAAAAACCCTTTAAATCATCTTTACAATCACCAGCATAACGCTGAAAGGCTATTAAACAACTGGTGTTTTCAGGCTAGCATTGATTGCTGATGTAAAAAACACAGACCTGATGAGTTAGTTTTGGAGAGTGTCACTTTTCTGACCTGCGCGGTCTCTTAAGGGTTTTGCTGATTTCTGCTGTAAAAGTGAGCTGCTAGACTTAAAGTAGCTTAATTTTGAGAAGGATGAAGCCTCCTTTCAAGGGGACGAACTTTGATATCGCTAAAGGGAAGGTACACAGCCCCCAAGTCCTTCGGTGATTTCAATGGTATTGCACTGGAGGGCACTAAACATGAAGTATTTTTACTGCTGAACTGAAGCGGGTGGTCCCTGGTGCTAGGGTTCCTGTTAGGGAAAAGGGGTACAGCTGGGCTGCAGCTGCCTGCAGGCTGGGAGCTGTCAGCCAGGGTGGGGGCAGGTCCCCA